ATCAAGAATTGTGATAAACTATTTGTTCTAATATTTTTAAAACATTTGAATTAGATTTGAATTTTTAAAGGGTGGGTCAACAATATATGATTTCTACTGTAGTAACAAAAAATATTAACAAATTCTGGATCATAAGGTCTTCACTAAAAGTATAATTTTTATGACATAATGCCAGACATTAAATATAAAAATGCTACTAATCAAAACGTTAATTATTCTAATTACTAAACAACGGCACACGTTCATTTTGTTCTGAATCATATCTATCAGAGTAAAATAGAAAAAAGTTATCTCATGACCAATAATGGTACATAAAAAAATTCGCCCCTTACCTTGATCCCGATCTTGCTATGGCTTTTCTAGTTTTCTCGAGATATCTATCATATCCATATAATGCAAGAGCTCCGGTTGGACTCAGTATCAAATTTTGCCATGTGAATTTCCAAAATCTTGGAGTGAACTTAGCCTCCTCAAGCAAAAATACCCAATAAGAGAAACTAGCAATTATTGCAGCAAAGTCAATGATAAAGAATCCCGTGGCACCTATCAACTCGCCGTTGAAAAATTGTTCAAAAGGCGTCCGCAGGTACAAGAAGTTATTATCAACAGCTAATAATATTATTAAGGTCAAAAAAAATTTTTTTAAAAAAAAAAAGAGTGCAAAAGTAAGTGCTTACCATGTACCCAAAAGAATACCCATGAATATATACTTAATCCGAAAATTATTAAATAATAAATTGCAACTTGTTTGTAGCCATCATCAGAAACACTTGGATTTTCAGAATTGTCAATGAACGCTTTTGGTTTTCGTACCCAAAATAATGCAGCCAATAAAGGTGAAACCTAACATATACCCGTGTTAAACGATGATATAAACATTAAATTAATGTTTAATAAGAATAATTTAAAAAATTACCTGAAAGAAAATTATACTCCACTTCTGTAAGGTGGGGTTTGTGAAAAATGACATAGCAACTATGCTAATGATTACAAGGGTGAATAAACCAGTAAATATTCCTTTAACACGATCTGGATTTAAGGGAACATCTTCTCTTTCTGCTTTTTTGTTTTCCGATGCAATCCACGCAGGAATCCTTAAACGATAATCAGTAAGACATTTAAGCAAATTACCTAGTCAAATGTCGCAAGCAGAGAAAAACGTCAAAATGAAGTTTTACCAGATCAAAGGAATCACCACACCTCCTCCCAAAAGTTGTATCGCGATTACGAGCAACGAATAATGTGTAATCCAACCACTCACGCCAGGATCAGATGCTTCTAAAGCTACATTAAAAAATAAGACTAAACCCAACGGTGCTCCCAGCTGACTAAGAAGTAACCCGGTAGGATCATTAAGAGCATCCCTGTATAAAGAATTTTTAATGAAATTAATATAAATTGCAAATAAAAAGAAATACATTTATTTAAGAAGGCGCAACCAACATACGTAAAAAAAGGTACAAAAATTTTCAAGAGATAATCAACGCCAGGAATCCCTGTATATTTTTCTTTATGGGTAGATGGATCCGGCCAATAACTTGCTATCTGAGTCTGTAAAAGTATAAAGATTAATATTGCAAAAATAATTGGAATAAACATATGGTACTTCGAATAAGTATCCATTTTGTGATCTTTAGGCTAAACCTTTTGGGTGCAGTTTTTTAATTGTTATTTTAGATCGCAAGTATTTAATGCATGCAGCACATGTGCACTTGCAATTGTTTCCGTATTGTAATAGTTTACAGCAGAGTTTAAGTTGTTGTTTGGGGTGCAGAATCGTCGTTGTGCAAGCGCGCGCTTTCGAGTGAAATTTCCGTTGTATATTTGTCACGTGATATACGATGGTAATCAATTTTAATTAAATCTTGCGGAACCAATATTGCTTTCAAATAAAATAAATTTAAATTGATAATATTTTTAAAATAATAAATAATGATAATAAATAATGTACAGCATTATATATTTTTTAGCAAAACCAATTTAAACTTGTTTTTTACTAACTGTAAATTTATTTTTACAAATTAATTTTTGCAAATAAAGATATATAAAATTTATAATAAATACAGTTAAACTATTTTATTTTATTTTTTACTCTTAATCAGGCTGCAAGTTGCAATGTTTATTAAACTTTTTAAACAGAATACAATAATACAATGATATTATGTAACTTTATACTTAACTATATAAATTGCAGTATATTTATTAATAAGTTTAATAAATTTATATATGATTCTTAAATTTTTAATATCAAAATTATTGTATTGTCCATATGACCTAATTATTTACTAACTATTTTACTATAAAAGAATTGATTTATTAAGCTATTACTATATAGTATTTACTATTTTAAACTTTTTAAATTCTTTTAACTCTTTAAATAAGATTATAATAAATAATAAAATTGTTTCTTTTTAATAAAACTATATAATAACTCTTTCTGCAAATCCTTTTTTTTTCAAAAAATTTTTTTTATAGTAACAGGCAAAATTCTAAGGAGAAAAAAAACAGCAGGTGCTTTTGGAAATCCAATTTCCAAGAGCAAACCCCTAAATACTTCCCATATTCTTTTGAATATTGTTATCTCAAATCCAAGTGACCATCTCTTCTCTTTAGTTTTATAAAAAAACCAATATAAGCAATATTCTAATTATTGAATTAGTGAAACATATATCTATTCCCCTTCTAATTAATATTTTCAGATTTTGAATTATATCTTTATAAAACTCAAATATTAGTAACAATCTTTTACAAGTAGATATTGCTTTTATTAGATTCAAACAAGCAATAATCAACTTCAACTTCTCCTTATATCTCTATACTACAGCATCCTTATCTATCAATAATATAAAAAACAATATCCAAAACAATCTTAATGACTTCTTTTTCTATCAGAAGAGAAATAGCTTTACCTCCAGTATAAGGAAAATTATCACAAGGAATATATTAAACAATAATCTTAACTATATATTTCATCTTTCCTGGGATCAAATTATATCATAAAAAATAAAAACAAATTTATATTGAAAAAAATATAAAAAGTATCAATATACTTACTATTTAATATATCAGTCCAAAAGAACAAACTAGAAACTTCAGGTCAAAACCTTTTTACAAATCCAGCAGAAAAAAAATTAGTATCTCAAATCTCAAAAAAAATTTCAAGTAGCTTATTCCTATCAATTGATTAATAATATATTACAGTTCTGTCAAATCCATACAATATGCAAGCATACAATCTTCTAAATACATATCTCTTATATAATCAACAAGTTATAGGTAACATAATATAAGTAAATGATCATTAATTTGTAATTATTCTTGAAGCCAATCAGAACAAATCTAATAGTACCATTAGATCAACCAGTTTTACGTTGAACACAAACATATCTATGAATTAATTGAATTAGAAAATTTCACTGAAAAATACTAATTTATTAATTGAATTCAACAAACAAATATAAATCAATTTGGATGCTCTCCAAAATTCCTTTTTGGAAATTATACCCACTCTACTCATGCCATTATCAAACATTTGCTTAAAAATGAATTGTTACCAAATATTTGTACACAAAGTACAAATAATATCTTTTCAACTAGCAATAAATCAAACTTGATAAGAGATCTTATCAATTTTTTAAACCCTTTCATAATCTCAAATAATACTGTATCTTGAACTCATTATAAATAATGTCTGTAAATTCTAAAAAACAAATCATCAACCTATTAATGAAAAGTGATTCAAGCTTACAATATCCTATAGATAATATTACATTAGCATTATCAATAAATACTATTGAACCTTTTATCAGTAAATATGATATCATCATTAAATTAGCTTTCCAGCTAAATCAATATTGTTTAGAAGCTCAGAAAGTAGTTGAAGTCTTTAAAGATATTAAAAACAAATCTAAAGGATCAGTTACACAGAAGTCACACTTTGAAATCTTTACAAAAATATTATTAAGGAACAGAACCTTCTTCAGATCATTTACTAAAAATAAAAATTTGAAAGAAAACCATCAAAAAAAATATGAATCCCTCGAGAATAAGTTTTATAAAAATTATAAAAAGCATTATGACATAATATATATTAATTATACTATTAAATAGAAAGTGCACTGGATCCTGAACTTATTTCTTTTTGTTGCCTATCTAAGATTCACAAACCTAATCAAACTCAAATTTTATAAAATAGCCCAACTACTAGAATTTGGTTATAATTACTTTCTTAAAAACAATAATAAAACAGTTAACTATATAGAACTATAGAGCTCTGCAAGCAATTGCTCTATAAATCTTTTCCACCTCTTCTTGAAACTTATGATCAAATTCTAATAGAAATGATAATTAAACTTCCCTACTCACTATCAATTAGAGAAAAGAAATACCTATCAACTATTCTTTCAATATTACATATATACTACAAATTTACTCTTTTTCCTAATTCATGTTTTTTAACCTTCTTTCATTAACAGTGAATCTCAACAATCTAAATAATAAAACAGTCCATTTGTTTTCTATCATAATAAGAAAGGACTTAAATTTCCTCCCAGACAGAATTTGAAAACTTAGCAAGTTTTATGAAATTTCTTTATAACTATTTAAATTATACTTCGATCTCCCTCCTCCAAAAGAATCTCTACTAGTATCATACTGTATAAGCTTCTACCAGCACACCTAGCTATATACTTTTCTCATAATTTAGCAATTATGGATATATAGGAACTAATTAATATTTTGAAAAAGGAATATAGTCTTAAGACCTTACTATTGAACTTCTACAAGTTCATAAGATCTTTTCCCCACTTCCTTAACTTTCTTCTAAATGAAATTGATATAATTATTCCAGTAAGCACAAAAGAGGATACCATTGTTCTCATTAATTATTTTAAAAAAGACTTCAAATTTAATCTTTCACTGGGTCCTCTGTGGATCAATCCATCTATCTTACAAACAAACAAAAAAAAATTACCTTTTAAAATCAGTAATGTTGATGCATTCCTTGAATCGAAATGTATATGGATTACAGAGATGCCTATTTCTTGCCCAAGTTAAGAGAACTAAATGCAAGATTTAAGTTTCATACTTTGTCTAAAAAGTGGTTTAAAGCTTCAAAAGCTTTGCTACCATTATAGAAGAGCTTAACAAGTACAATGAAGAGAATCAAATTGATGTTTGTTTTTTACTTAAAGATAATAATAAGCTACTTATATTTATAGTATAACTCCATAGAAGCTATAATTTTAACAGATTTTCCAATGAATATATTCTAACTAAAAATCTATCAGAATCTGGTTTTGATCTCATTCTTTTTATTTGTTAATATGTCTGAACCATCCAACCTTATACACTTGTTAGATAAAAGTACATATTATATTACTTCTTTCAAACTCTCATCTCTTAAACAAAAAACTTATTTAACATCTCAATACTAAATATATACAGTTTAAATGACAGATTCAAGCTCATAGTACTAGCTTATGATCTCAAAAATAATAGATCAATTCTGTATTGCTACAAAATAAAAATATTAAGGAACAATCTCCTTCCAAGAAAACTTAATAATCAAATTATTATTGCCAGCATTTCCTTATACTTGTTAAAAAATGGTACTTGTTTAATAATTGGCAAGAACCTAAGCAACCATATATTTGAAACCTATATAGAGAATAATTATTGATATACAATACACTTCAAATTTAAATCAAAAATTTATCTAGTTATTACAGCTATATATTTATCCCATGAGTCAGAAGAAAGAAAAATTGTAACAAACTTTCTAATTAAATATATCAAAAATTTTAAAAAATCAATTTATTAAATTATGGCTAGAGATTTCAATACATATCCATTCAATACCCAGGAAATCACGAACACAGAAGTTGAAAATACAATCAAAAAGTCAAAATCAGAATCAGCACCAGGGAAATCACAAATAAACTATGCAACACTCAAACACCTTGGCCCAAAGGGCATAGGAAGACTCACAACTCTCTTTAATCGCATTCTCCAAACCAAAGAAATACCGAAGAAATGGCAACACAACCTATTATATCCAATTCCAAAGAACTCGGACTGGCAACATGACCTCAATCAAACCAGACCAATTGCACTCCTGGAAACAGTAAAGAAGACCTTTACGAAAATAATCAATAACAGATTAGCAGGAATTCTATCGAAACATCAAATCCTATCGCCCCTCAACTGGGCAGGGCTCCCTGGGGGTGGCACACACGAACCAATCATCATCATCAACCACATCATGGAAGAAGCAAGGGAATCAGGAAAAGAGCTATGGATGCTAAGCCAAGACATTAGCAAAGCATATGACTCAATGAGGCATGATAGGCTGGATCAAGCAATGGAGCGTATCAAAATTCCACAAACAATTCGTGACATCATCATGAACTGTGTTACAGAGCGCACAAGCCAGGTAATCACACAACATGGACTTACCGAACCATTCACCATAAGGCTGGGCATAGATCAAGGGGATACAATATCCCCGCTTCTCTGGCGCATATACTATGACCCGCTAATAAAAAAGATAGAGGATCTAAGACTAGGATACAATCTTGACACCAAGATTCCCACAACATGCTTTGGACACTGGAACCAGGGAA